TTTTTTCAACATATTAGATCAGTTTGTTTATTAAACTTGTTTTCCATAAGTTTTTATTTTAATAAATGATTGCCTTATATTTTCCACAAAATAAATAAAAATTGTAAAAATTTTCTCTTATTTTCTAGTCAGACCACTCAGAAGATTTTTTCCACGACTAAGTAATTAAAAAAAAAAAGTAATTGAATAAAAAGAAAGTAAATGAACTTTACAAAGTAATGAAAGATAATATTTTTCGATTAACGTTGTTGTCGAGTTGATAAACCAATTGAAAAGAAATTTAAGCCGGCGATGAAATGTCACTGAGACAACAAGTTGATCTCATAAAATCTATCAGTTATCAGCGATAAGACGCGCCTTTGTTGATAAGGTACTAAGATACGTCCATCCAGTGGATGAAAAGTATACACGTGTACATTCGAGAAAAAACACCGATACCATTTTATATATATAAGTGTAAGTGGTTGTATTCCAGCGACGGGATATTCCATTATACGTCGAATACACCGACGAGAGAAATAATAAACAAAATCAACAATAAAAACAAGGAGCCTGGAAAATAAACAAATAAATAAAAATATCGGGAAAAAAGGTCATGCTTCCTCCTGGTTAAACATAGTTATAAGTTATACCTTCACTCGGTGATAAAAACCACTCATGTTTTCTTTCGATATTGCATTTTAAATTGACGACGCCATATAATGAGAGAATAAAATTACTTACGTTCGCGGAATTGAATGACGTTCTTATGACGGTCGTTTATTATCAGGCATTTGTAGCAGTTTTCATTCTGGAAACTGTGGACAATAAAAAAAAATTTTTTATTTATTTATTATTAACATTATATTGTTTTTAATCGGGTGAAAATTAATATTAAAGAATTTATGTCTCTGTAACTTGATAGCGTAATTTTTTTTAATGGCGATAAAGTTATTACATCGGGTAAAGTCGATCGATAAATTGTTTTAAAGCTTCGTAAAAGATATTGCCGATTTTTGCTTTATAGTAAATTTTTAATTTAAAATTAATAAATATTTCAGTTATTATTTTTAAATTAAAATTTTTTTATGATGATTAATTGTTAGTTTGAACAATTTAAACGTATTATATTTTATTCCGGGTATTTATTTTATCACTTTAATGTTTAGTCTTGTAAAATACGGATCATATTTAATTTCTTTATTTATAATATCAAATTTAAACACTGGCTTTAATTTCTGTGAAGCAATTTAAAAAAAATATACTTTAATAATTATTAATCTCAAAATTAATTAATAAAATTTTTTATTTTATCTCAAATTTTCTTCGTCTAGACTTTACAACTAATAAAAAAAAATTTAGACTTTAATTTTTGTTAAAATTTCGCATAAAGTAAGTTTAATAAAGACTAATGAATAGTTAATAATTTTGAAAAGATTTTCCTAAATAAATAATTAATACAGATTTAAATTCTAACGTAAGAGAGGATGCGATTAAACTTAACCGAAAATTGCGGTGCAATTAAAAATTTACCGACAGTAAAATAATAATTCTATAACATGATTAAGCGGTGCAGATTTCAAAGTAAAAAATTACCAAGTTAAGTCTTCAGGAAATTGAATTTATAATGCAACAATAATAAATTCCAGTAATTAGAACTTGAGATAATAAAATTTACGAATTGGCAGGAAATGAATACATGAATATTGAATAATTAAGTATAATTAGTAGAATAATAACTTACAAATCATAAACGGAATACATGTCTCCGTTGTTCTCAATGCAAGTCTTCTCGCCAAAGGTAGTGGCGTTTATCGTAACAGACGTCGGTTTTCCTGACTGGAACCATTGTCCTCTCCATGATTCCGGAAATTGGCAAGACCCTGAAACACGAACAAGTTTCCTCGTAAATACCGACGTCCGATTTGTAACATAACTTGTGCTTTCCTTCTCTATACATGTATATAAAAGACAAACATATCTATATCTATCAAAAGCAGAGAGCCGAGTTTGTCGTATCGGGGTTGTTTAATTCTCTTTCTCTTGAACTCTCAACGTCTGAATGCATGGTTGATGCGATACATTGTTGTTGTTTTGCACCACCAACGTATACACAAGCACACAAAGACGGTGAAAGCGAGTTACACCGTGACAAACTCCCTAACAAGCTCGCCTAGTCTACCGAAGATATCTTTCCCAAAAGCGAGAAAACATTTTCTCACTTCCTTCCGTATTCAACTTCGCCTTGTAAATCGGCCAAGATCCAGGTCATCGCAACAATAGATTTATGTATTTTTATCTTCAGCTAAACTTTCAACTCGCTGTAACCATTTTTTTTTTTTTTTTTAATGTCGTATTTTGTTCTTTTAAAGTCGAAAGTCACTTTATTTTTTCGCTAAAATTGGTCTTCTTATGTAATTTTGTTATGGCTGATTAATAAAAAACAAGCAACCTTGCAGTCACTATGTGACTGCCGTGACTTGTGTGAACTGTAAATAAATACACTGAAAAAAAATTAACTTGATTCAAGAAAAAAATTCTTGAACCAAGAATATAATTTTGAAGAGGGTAATTGTCTTGGATCAAGACAAAAATTCTTCGTCTAGAAAATCAAATTCTTCAAAATTATATATTTGACTTTTGTTAAATTGCACTGTACTTTTTTAACTATTGACGTTTTTAAAGATATAAGCTCATTCCGATGTTACACTCATTAAGAGCTTTCATTTGAGTACTCACATGCATTTTGATATATTTTTCATATATACATATATATATATATAT